GAGAAGGGAAATTAATTTTTCATTAGTGAACTAAGAAAAAACATATTTAGAGACAATTTCACAAGTTAATTGCCATGTCTCTATTTTTTAAAAATATATAATTTCCAAAATCAATTACTCCAAAATAATCGGAGAGAACTCTGAGACTTGAACAAGATGATGTGCTCCAACCCGTGATGGGCATTCAGCCCTGACACCAGCCTAGAACTATTCTGGGCAAAACCCAGTCCAGAAGCCCACATCTTGTTCCCTCCTCGGATGCTTGGAGAGGATAACAAAAATTATATCCAGTAATGGCACTGATTCAGTTACTCACTGTTTTTATCACTGAAACGCTCGATCCTTACAGACAGCAGCTTCTCTCTGAGTATCATAGTCCAAATCTGCTTGCTTTTCCTGCTGTTTTTTTGCCTGCTTTTCAGCCTGATGAACAAAAGGGATGTCAGCTGATACTTGTCAAATATCATCCCTTCCCACTTCTCTCCCCTACCCCACAAAAAGGGTACGTTGAATAGCTGAGTGCACATCAGCATCAGCTGCTGCTCTTTGGTGACCTGCCCAGAAGACACAAGAGAGCAGTAGTAGCATGGTTGAAAAAATGGCATAATGACACAGGACAGGATGTGATCACTCATTATTGATCTCTTTCTTATTACCAGCCCTCCCAGGTAATCCTCCCTGACCAGCATGGGCCAAGTCAGCCTGGAAGAGGCTTCTGTTGCACTGTTCTGAGAGGAGGCTGGTCCCCAACATCAGCACCTGTGGTACACACAGGTAAAAAAGCAAACAAAAACCCCCATCAGACCCACAGCAAGCTTCCTCTTTCTGTCCCACCCAGGAGAATCTAGTGCTGTTGGTTTAGATGCATGCTTGTTTCTGAAGAGGCTGACAGGGTACAGCTCTTCTATTTACCATTTGCTGGATCTGAATTTTCTGTACTTCCATGTTTGCGTCACGTTGGCTTTGTTTCTTGGCTTTTTCCATTTCCAGGGAGATGCGGTTCTTTTCCATTAACGCATGACGTTCTCTTTTACCCTCTGCTTTTTCCTCTCTCTCCTTTTCCACTTTCAGCTTCATCTGTATTTTACAAAATACACAAAAACAGTTAACCAAGGAGCTGGCAGATCTGCGCCCAACATGGAATCAGGAGAGGAACAGAAGACCCCAGGAAAGATGTCAGCGGACCCGATGAAGCCCGCTGATGCATGGCACCAGGGCCACCAGCTGTGACCTGGGCCAGGCTCCTCGGCTGGAGGAAGCAGTGCAGAGTCTGGAAAACGTTTGCACAAATTACCAACGATTATAGAGCCTTCCAACTCTTAATTTTTTGGGAGAGGATCATCACATGTACCGCTTGCACCTTTCTTAAGGAGTTAAGTTCTGAACCTATAGATGGTAAATATGAGAGGCCGCTTAGTGAGAACTTGCATGTGCGTCTCACTCAAGATGACTGTGCTAGAATCTATGGTGTTTCTAAAAGGTATTGAGAAGTACAAGTATATGACAGAAAGAGGAAAAAGAACAGGCTAGGTTTCTTACCACAGTGACTCTGTGTTCAGCAATAGATTCAATGGCTGCCTTTTTTTTTTTTTCTTTCTCTTTGTTTTTCATCTGGTATTCATCTTCTACCTCTGCAGCTCCTCTAGCAAGACGATCATCTTCAATCTTACATGCCTCATCCATCTGTGCAGTTAGTTGTTCAAAAGCTTTGTCCTTATGCTCCTGCACTAGCCTGCAAGAGAACATAAGCTATCATAACATATCAGGATATCTGCTCAGATTACCTGCGGCGCTGCTCCTAACAAAGCCAGCAATCCCACTTCCACCCCCAGCAGCACCAATTACTACCGGAACTGGTACGCATTTCTTCTGGACTTCCTACTTCTTTTTCAAGTTTTAACTACAGAAAAATTGCCTGCATGACAAAATTCTGATTTTGCATGTAACACCTGTCACAAAATTAAATTGCAAGTTTGAATCTTAATGCTGAAAACTGTAGCCCAAGACCCACCTGTTAGTCTCTGCATTTTTTTCTCTTGTCAGATCAGCCATCATTTCTTTTCCTTTAATATAAGCCTTAATCCGATCATCATCTTCATCATCTTTTTGTTTCTCTTCAGCTTTCATTTTTTTCTGTTCAGCTACATACTCCTGTTTAAATGCAGAAGTACTTTTATTTTTATGTAGAATGATATTTTGGAGACATGAACTGAAAAAAAAGAATCTAGCAAAGACTTCAGGCCTAGCCTATAATAACAGTTCTTTGGTTGATCAGTGGAGAAGCTATGGAAGATAGAAACGCAGAGATGGAAGAGAATTCTCATGACCTACGTACCACAAAATACCACAATTAAAATTAGTATGTGATTGCAGCCCCCAGCACAGTATCTTTAAGTTATATTCTTTCCTCTGCTTCCCCACTAGCTCTAACTGTACTGCTCCCATCCTGTGTATCATTCACACAGAACAGACTCTGAAGGGCTCAAACAGTAAGAGTCCATAGAACTGTAAAAATGTAAGGCACAAGGCATTTTGTAATCACACAGAAATGGCGGTTGTGAATATATATATAGCTTTTACTGCATATACAAGGTTGGGGGCAAACGGGGTAAAATTTATATACTTGAGGTGAGAAGGACTGGGGGGGGCGAAGCAAGTAGGATTTCAGTAGGAATTCTCTCCTCTTACTCTCTCACATGCCAATGAATCATCACGGTACCTCCACTTCAGTCTGCACAAGCAGGCATGGGGAGGGAAACAGTAGGTGTGGTAAATAAGTCTTGACTAATTTTCTAAACCTCTCCAATCATAAAGGGATAGACAAGTTAAAAAAATATTGTCGTGTTCAGACTCAGGCTATTTCCTCTTCCTAACAAAGGAAAATGGGTTTAAACCAGAGCAGGTACATGGAACCTACATCCAGTTCTCAAGTCAAGGACAATCTCCTTGCTGTCTATAGCAGACTTTTTCCATCATAAACCAGTCAAAGCTCAGGTGCCACATTACAACTTCCAAGAGGCCTTTCTCAAAAGCACAGAGGAAGGACATGGCCTGCAACTGGCAGGGGAGGCATATGATCCAGTGCTACTGAAGCTGTCAGCAGGCCCATTTATTTGTGGGCTTAATGCAACCGTTTCACTCCAGGCAGCCAAGGTGAAACAAGCATTATGAACTCTCTGCTTTCCTGTTACTTACGTGATACAGCCTCTGGCGTTCAACTTTTTCCTCCTGTTCCTTTTCCATTCTTCCCTGAATTTCCAGTTGGTATAACTGGTTCAATCTCTGTATTTGTTCTCCTTCTCTTTTGTCTTCTAGCTTGGCCAGATCTGCCTGATGCTTGTGCTCCTTTATTCTGAATCAGGAAAAGGAGTTGAATAGACAAGCTAAGGACTGTATGAAGGTAATGAACAGGTACAGATTCTGCACATCTAGAAGTACTTTAACAGTAAAACAAAACTGATACTTTGAAGTGGAAGTAGAATGTCAGAGATCAAAAACAGAATAATGGTTTTTAAAAGGTAGCTGCAAATCCTTTGGCCAAAGCTCAGTCCTAGTGGAAGGGTGATGGTTAAACCTATACTAGCAAAAGCAAACATGACCAGCACATGGACTTGAATATCAGATTGAATTTGATTAACCTGTTTAATTGTTAGCCCACTCACTGTACAAGGTGGGCCTTTGCCAGCTAGCTGTCTTCCAAGCAATGCCACAGCACTGTGCAAGACACAGCCATGGTCGTCAGCCTCTGCTAGCTGGATGCGTGAATGATTCTGGGCTGGGGGAAGCAGTAATAATGAAGATTTTTGCCCTAGTGAGACAAGCCGCTTGCTCTTAGTGCCACAATATAGACAGTCTTGTTTAATTTATTAGGATCAATATAACCACCGGCAGCAAGAGACGTTTCTGAAGCTGGAGAAAAGAGAAATGGAGGAGATGGAGGGTGAGCAGAGATGACAGGTTTTCACCCTGACCACAGAGCGAGGAGGATCAGAAACGATGGTTTAAGAGAAGCGAGCCATGCAGCCGCAGACACGGCGCCGAGGCCAGGCCGGAGGCCTGCTCCGCCACAGCGGGGTGGCCTCGGCCGCGTTAGCCCCAGGTAGCCCCGCTCCGGCCCTGCGTGCCCAGCCTCCACCCCCACCGGCCGCGCAGGCGGGTCCCGGCAGCATGGGGCTGGCCACGGGAAGAGCTTTCACCCAAACCCCGCTCCCCTCCCAACTCCTGAAGGCCCCGCCAGGCTCACTGCGCCAGCTGCTCCTGAGCCACGGCCCGCCGGGCCAAGTAACGGCCGTGCTCCAGCTCTGCCTCCCGGCGGGCGGCGTCCGGCCCCTCGCCGTCCATCGTCGGTCTTTCTCCGCCGCGGGCCGGCCCCGCACCCGCCCCCCCGGGAAGCGGCAGCGCCTCCC